TTGAAAGTATATTAAATATCAAAATTACTTACTTGCTTCCACATATATAGTTTCGTTTAATTCCTTTCTACGTGCTGAATAGTTAGTGGACTTTATAGAGTGCAAAATTACGATATTCTCCTCAAATTAAAATATCGTAATTAAGCACATCTATACAGTCCAACAACCGGAGCATACAATCGATGATATGTCAATCACTTCCAAATGCATTTGAGTTAATAATTTATTAAATATTATTCTAAAATCACAACTAATTGTTCGAATAACATTTTTTTATGAATAAAATAATATGTTATACGAAATAAAATTACGATATACATTTTTCTATAATTAAAATATATCAAGTTAAATGTCCAATAAAGACCAGCTACTGGAATAAACAAACGAGAAAATATTAGTCACTTTGTTTCTTTTATAACTAATTATTTTCTAGGACGTTGACATAACAATAGAAAATGTATTATATATCAAAATTGGTTACTTGTTTTCATATATATAGTTTCGTTCAATTCCTTTCTATGTGCGGAATAGTTAGTGGACTTTATAGAGTGCAAAATTACGATATTCTTCTAAAATTAAAATATCGTAATTAAGCACATCAATACAGTCCAACAACTGGAGCATACAATCGATGATATGTCAATCACTTTCAAATGCATTTTAGTTAATAATTTATTAAATATTGTTCTAAAATCACAGTTAATTGTTCGAATAACATTTTCTCATGAATAAAATAATATATTATACGAAATAAAATTACGATATACATACATCTACAATTAAAACATAGCAAGTTAAATGTCCAATAAAGACCAGCTACTGGAATAAACAAACGAGAAAATATTAGTCACTTTGTTTCTTTCATAACTAATTATTTTCTAGAACATTAATATAGCAATTGAAAATATATTAAATATCAAAATTGGTTACTTGTTTTCATATATATAGTTTCGTTCAATTCCTTTCTACGTGCGGAATAGTTAGTGGACTTTATAGAGTGCTAAATTACGATATTCTTCTAAATTAAAATATCGTAACTAAGCACATCTATACAGTCCAACAGCTGGAGCATACCATCGATGATATGTCAATCATTTCCAAATGCATTTTAGTTAATTACTTATTAAATATTGTTCTAAAATCACTGCTAATTGTTCGAATAACATTTTCTCATGAATAAAATAATATATTATACGAAATAAAATTACGATATAAATATTTCCATAATTAAAATATAGCAAGCAAAATGTCCAATAAAGACCAGCTACTGGAATTAACAAACGAGAAAATATTACTCACTTTGTTCCTTTCATAACTAATTATTTTCTAGAACATTAATATAGCAATTAAAAATATATTAAATATCAAAATTGGTTACTTGTTTTCATATATATAGTTTCGTTTAATTCCTTACTACGTGCTGAATAGTTAGTGGACTTTATAGAGTGCTAAATTACGATATTCTTCTAAATTAAAATATCGTAATTAAGCACAATAATGCAGTCCAACAACCGGAGCATACAATCGGTGATATGTCAATCACTTCCAAATGCATTTTAGTTAATAATTTATTAAATATTGTTCTAAAATCACAGCTAATTGTTCGAATAACATTTTCTTATGAATAAAATAATATATTATACGAAATAAAATTACGATATACATACATCTACAATTAAAACATAGCAAGTTAAATGTCCAATAAAGACCAGCTATTGGAATAAACAAACGAGATAATATTAGTCACTTTGTTCCTTTCATAACTAATTATTTTCTAGGACATTAACATAACACTAGAAAATGTATTATATATCAAAATTACTTACTTGCTTCCATATATATAGTTTCGTTCAATTCCTTTCTACTTGCGGAACAGTTAGTGGACTTTATAGAGTGCAAAATTACGATATTCTTTTAAAATTAAAATATCGTAATTAAGTACATCTATACAGTCCAACAACTGGAGCATACAATCGATGATATATCAATCACTTCCAAATGCATTTTAGTTAATAATTTATTAAATATTGTCCTAAAATCACAGTTAATTGTTCGAATAACATTTTCATATGAATAAAATAATATATTATACGAAATAAAATTACGATATACATACATCTACAATTAAAATATATCAAGTTAAATATCTAATAAAGACCAGCTATTGGAATAAACAAACGAGAAAAAATTAGTCACTTTGTTCCTTTCATAACTAATTATTTTCTAGGACATTAACATAACAATAGAAAATGTATTATATATCAAAATTGGTTGTTTCATATCATATATATAGTTTCGTTCAATTCCTTTCTACGTGCTGAATAGTTAGTGGACTTTATAGAGTGCAAAATTACGATATTCTTCTCAAATTAAAATATCGTAATTAAGCACATCTGTACAGTCCAACAACTGGAGCATACAATCGATGATATGTCAATCACTTCCAAATGCATTTTAGTTAATAATTTATTAAATATTGTTCTAAAATCACAGTTAATTGTTCGAATAACATTTTTTTATGAATAAAATAATATATTATACAAAATAAAATTACGATATACATATTTCTATAATTAAAATATATCAAGTTAAATGTCCAATAAAGACCAGCTACTGGAATAAACAAATGAGAAAATATTAGTCACTTTGTTCCTTTCATAACTAATTATTTTCTAGAACATTAATATAGCAATTGAAAATATATTATATATCAAAATTGGTTGTTTCATATCATATATATAGTTTCGTTCAATTCCTTTCTACGTGCTGAATAGTTAGTGGACTTTATAGAGTGCAAAATTACGATATTCTTCTAAAATTAAAATATCGTAATTAAGCACAATAATGCAGTCCAACAACCGGAGCATACAATCGGTGATATGTCAATCACTTCCAAATGCATTTTAGTTAATAATTTATTAAATATTGTTCTAAAATCACAGCTAATTGTTCGAATAACATTTTCTTATGAATAAAATAATATATTATACGAAATAAAATTACGATATACATATTTCTATAATTAAAATATAGCGAGTTAAATGTCCAATAAAGACCAGCTATTGGAATAAACAAACGAGATAATATTAGTCACTTTGTTTCTTTCATAACTAATTATTTTCTAGGACGTTGACATAACAATAGAAAATGTATTATATATCAAAATTGGTTACTTGTTTTCATATATATAGTTTCGTTCAATTCCTTTCTACTTGCTGAATAGTTAGTGGACTTTATAGAGTGCAAAATTACGATATTCTTCTCAAATTAAAATATCGTAATTAAGCACATCTATACAGTCCAACAACTGGAGCATACAATCGATGATATGTCAATCACTTCCAAATGCATTTGAGTTAATAAGTTATTATATATTGTTCTAAAATCACAGCTAATTGTTCGAATAACATTTTCTTATGAATAATATAATATATTATACGAAATAAAATTATGATATACATATTTCTATAATTAAAATATAGCAAGTTAAATGTCCAATAAAGACCAGCTATTGGAATAAACAAACGAGAAAATATTAGTCACTTTGTTCCTTTCATAACTAATTATTTTCTAGGACATTAACATAACAATTGAAAATATATTATATATCAAAATTGGTTGTTTCATATCATATATATAGTTTCGTTCAATTCCTTTCTACTTGCTGAATAGTTAGTGGACTTTATAGAGTGCAAAATTACGATATTCTTCTAAAATTAAAATATCGTAATTAAGCACATCTATACAGTCCAACAACTGGAGCATACAATCGATGATATATCAATCACTTTCAAATGCATTTTAGTTAATAATTTATTAAATATTGTTCTAAAATCACAGCTAATTGTTCGAATAACATTTTTTTTATGAATAAAATAATATATCACAGTTGCGACTTAAATTGTGATGTATGTTTTTACGATGCCATTTAATGCATTCGGTAGTAACTGGGTTCATCGGAATTCAAAATTATAATATTTTATTAAAATTAAAATTGCATAAGATTTTTGTCCGGTTAAGTCCACAATTAAAATAATAGAATGAAGTTATATAAATCAAGTTTTATTCATAAATATTTATTGAACTGTAAAATAATAACATAAGACTTTATAAAATATTTGATATGTCAGTTTCTGATTCTCTATTGAAAATTGTTTTTAGGTGACTCTATATAATGACAAATTATGAATAGTTAATGATAGGTAGGTTGGTAGTA